TACAATCGTCAACGGGGAGATAGAAGTGATGGTGATGACACTGCAGGAAACCCTAGGCGTAACCAAAAACAATACCGAATTGGTGGGTTACAAGTCAAACTCTTCTGCTGTTTTCTTCTTACTCGGCCACCTGTGGAGCTACAAATCATGGGCGGTGACGAATGCCAAGAAAACTTCTAAAGGAAAATTGTGTATGGGTGGGCTGATAACACCTATATTATTAGCATGTGGAGTGCCTTTAGAGTCAGAAGAGATCTTTCCTAAGTGGGTTGATATCGAATACTTGAGGAAGACTACATCATTGGATTGGGAGATGCTGGATGGAAGGTATGCCTGGATATTTGATCTTCCAGAAGCAGAAGGGGCGAAATTTCTCCTCCCTCACCAGGCATTCACCACGATCAGGGATAGAGGCAATATTGACTTCAAACCACCTGTTCAGATGCTCTATGGCGTTAACGAAGTCGTTCAACCTGCTGAAGAAGAAGGAGCCAATGCTGAAGGAAACAATGCCGAGGAAGAAGAAGAGGACCTTGATATAAAGGAATATAACACCAGGAGGTTCCACTTCGCTGAGCACAAGCCGCCATCAAGACAGAGCAAGAGCCTCACTGAGAGTCATGAGAAGATCAGCAAGCTCCAAGCCTGGTGCAAGTTCCAGGACAAGTTCATTGGTAAGTGCTTCAAGATGTACACATCCATGCAGAAGAAGTTGAACCGCTCCTCTACTAGCACTTCTGCTCCAAGAGTAGACCCTCCTGAAGAGATACCCTCCAAACGTTATGATTCAGATGCACCAAGGGACTCAACCTATGAACCGGTTCAAAACGTCTACGAAGTGCCCAGGCAATCCGCCTATGAACAAAGGGAAGCAGACACTTCCCAGGCACCAGCAAGACATTCCTCTCACGAACCTAGAGAGCATAGGAGAAGAAGGAAGCAAGCACCGGTTCACTTAGGTAGCAAGGCAAGGCTTCTCAACGCCAGGCGACCACTAAACCGCCGCACTGACCGCCAAGCCGACCCTGTGATCGAGTATCCTGCACCAGAGGAGGAAGAGCAACAACAAGGTCCCAACATTCCATGGGAATACACCAGAGAGGAGATGGACGACTACATCTCCAGGACCTTCAACTGAGGTACCACACCCAACCATCATTGTAAATACCATTTTCTGTTTTTGTTTTTCTAGTGTCTCTCTTGAAATCTCCTTCAGATTTTTACTACACAAGGGAATGTGTAGTTTAAGTTTGGGGGAGGATTCAAGACGTATTTAACATGTTTTCTTTGAGTCTTGTTTTCAAATTTTTGCATTTCATACTTGAGTCTGCATTCATCTAAGCATAGAAAAAACCAAAAAAAAATTTGAAAAATTTCTGAAAATGTATTCCACAAAAACAGAGTGTTCATTTAGTTGCATCACATTTAGGATCGAGTCTAGTATGTTTCATATAGGATTGTTGCATATGCATAGGGGATTATGATGAAATAGCCTTGTAAGCATGTTGGTTCAGTAGATAGACTCAATGCCGTCGTTGCTAGTTGTCTGATACGTAGTCAATGAAATTGAAGTAAAACTGCACCATGTCTTGAATGCTCTACTCGATCACACTGTCATGATTTGATACCATTCCCTATCAATTTAAACCTGAATCTGATTTACAATTATCATGTCTTAGCATCAAATTTGAACTCATGGATACCATATACATACTTGGGTTTTCTTTCAACTTTTCACCATCCTTGATAACCCAAGTAGCTGCATCCATCATAGGAGCAGTTTCCCTAGACCTTAACCAAACCTTTCTTTTAAAAAGCCCTGTAATATCTCGTGTGTGACTGTGAGGCCTGTTTCAGGATTGAGCTTGGTAGAAAGTGTTAGGTTTGAACCGACAAGAGTAGTGTCTCATGTAGTTCTAGTCCATGTTTTCTGGACTAGATAGGACTAGGTGGGAGTCTATTTTTGGGTGGGGATCGAGTATATGAGTAAAAGAAGGAAAAGCTTGATGTTTTTAGGAGAAGGAAGTTGAGAAACAAGTTAGTCTAGTAATGGGTTTTGAGGAACTAAAATTCAAATAGATAGGCTCTGTAACAAAAGAAGCAAAAATTTAGAAAAGCTTTATCATAAGAAGATAACAAGAGCCATAGTTGTCAAAGAAAACCAAAACCCACTAGATCCATCAAGTAAAAGAAAACTTCTCCTTAGAACAGAGTCAAAGAAAAAGAAAGAGTGATTTGATCAAAGATAAGAATGAGAAAAAAATGCCTTGAGTGCAAAGGGTAGAACTAGGATCATCTTCTGGGCTTGAGGGTAGTACCATCTGCTGGTGTAAACACGGTTTATGTTATTGGGTAGATGAGATACTGTTCTTGTATGCATAAGTTGGGTCTTACATTTAGCATTCTCCTAAAGCTCAGTCCATTTCTTTTGAGAGTCCCCTGTTACTAAACTTGAACCACCTTAAAGGGACTAGCCTTTGTCTCCTAACCTTCACCTTAAGCCAAATGAGTTCATTGATGGTGCATTGCTTGATTCACGTTCTGATACTAATGAATGTTAAAGGGATTGGTCGATTTAAAAGCATGTGTAGATCGAGTATAAGAGTCGGATTGAATTATAACAAGGCATGGCTAACGTTTTTGAGTAGAGATCGATCATATCGCATCCTAGAACTATCAACTTGGACCTTGATTTTATCTATTTTATCTGATGCTTTGGTTCTGAATCCCCACCTTCAAACCTCTCCTTCATCTTATGTTTACTTGTTTGCTTGAGGGCAAGCAAAGACTAAGTTTGGGGGAGTTGATATGTCTATAATTTGCATGTTTTACACATCCATTTATCACCATTTTGAGTCTAGTTTCATTCATCTTCCATAGCATTCATCATCATTTTGTACATTTTGCATGTTTAAGTGTGTCTAGCATTAGTCTTGCATGCATTTTGCATTCTGGAGTTGTTTCAGGTGCTTCGGAGCTATTGGTGTTCAGAAAGAGCAAAAACAGAGCTGAAAGTCACATTTGGACCATTCTACTCGATCACCAGTAGCAGAGAGGGAAGCAGTCAGCTCAGCAGACCATCAGGACCCCTATACTCGATCACAGGGCAGTCCATCCTGACAGACTACCCTTATACTCGATCACAGAGGAGGAGAAGCAGTCCATCCAGACTGTTATACTCGATCGCAGAGGAAGAGGAGCAGTCCATCCTGCCAGTTCACAGTTCTACTCGATCACAGAGGAGGAGAAGCAGTCCATCCAGACTGTTATACTCGATCGCAGAGGAAGAGGAGCAGTCCATCCTGCCAGTTCACAGTTCTACTCGATCACAGAGGAAGAGGAGCAGTCCATCCTGACAGTCTACCCACATACTCGATCGCAGGGTTGAAGAAGCAGTCCAGATCGTGCCATCAACCATTCTACTCGATCACCACCTCAACCCTCTGATCAATCCGCACTCAACCAGACAACCTGAGCAAAGGAAAGAGAAGAGGAGAGAAGGAACCACTTGATCGCGGCTTCGATTCACGCTCGACCATGAAGCCCACTTTGAGCCCATCTACTCGACCACAACGTTCCATGGGCCTGTTAAGCGGACTCGAAGCCCACTTACTTATCCTTGTCGTTTTTGCTATAAATAAGTCTCTAAGGGTTACCCCTAAGACATGGACTTTTCATTCACTTTTAATTCACGTTTTAGTCTCGAACCCTAGGATTGTTTTAGTAGCCGCTTTAGCTTCTGCAACTTTGTATTTTTTCGTTTTTCTATTATTGAGATTCTACTTTCATTCGCTTGTTGATTTCTGTTTCATTTCCCTTTAATCTTTAAAGTTATGCAATCATCAATCGTTTCTGTGTCTTTGAGCATGTTGTCTGAGTAGTGACTAGGATTTCTGAGGATGGGATAGAGTAGATGTAAGACCCTTAGTCGATTCTGATGGTTAAGTGTAGTTTTATTGAATCCCTTCTATATTAGTTGTGTTTACTGCTTATTCCTTTCTGATCAACTGGAATTCGATCAAAAGCATTCCCGCACCCAGAAGGTGTTCGATGGAATGCTTGATCTACTAATTCCAGTGATAATCGTCTCTATCCCAAGGGATTGGCCGTTTAGAGCGGTTATTGACTTTAACAGTCGGTTCTTATTGCCTACATAGTTAGATTCCGTTAATGGGAATTAGTCTGGGCTAGCTTTGCTTGAGGATTTGTTGCACGGGAGTGAATAAATCTGTTGTTGAACCTGTTGTCTAGGGATAGCTTAATTGAGAATTGTTAACCATCGAAATTGATTATGGAGTCCACACTATTCGATTACCCCATCCTTAGGAGTTTCTTATCCAATTGATTTATCTGTTTACTTACCTGCTTCATTCACCTTCTCTGTTACTTGCTATTGAATTTGATAATTGTCTGTTTTTGGACCTGTTTACTCGATCACAGCCTCCCTTCTGGCAGTGAGCCTTGTGATCGAGTATATCAGTCCATTTCTGCAAATTTATTGTTTTCTGCATCAATCACTAGAACTGTTAGAAAAACAACCAATTCATGCTTGGCTTGACTTAGTGCTTTCTGATCATATCTCATTTGTTTGCATCACACCTAAAGTGGATTGACACCTAAAATACTACAACGACAGGATAGTGTTTTAGGATTAATTGATCGTAAAAACCTATTATCATCTTCAGATTCCAAGCTCTCCTCTTTATCCAGGGGATACTTGGAAGCTTCAAGTCACACTCAAGTCACAACACAACTTGTTTGACTTTTGGGACACCTTTTTCTTCTGACAGTTTCCCCTGCTTGTCCAACCTCAGCATGCTCACTGTTACCAACTCCAATGTGCCACGTCACCACGAACCCATTAGCTTTTCCCGCCTCCTCTGTACTCCTTCAGACACACCCTGTTCGTCCTTCAGAGACTCTGTTTCATCAATCTCCCCCTTTTTATCTGAGTGTGATACTCAAGCAACCTGCAAAATGTTAGTTCCAAAAACAAATGCAGCCATACAAATTCTATACCAGATCAACCAGACAAATGAAAACAGAGAGAGCAAATCAGATTCATAACTGCGAAAGCAATCTTCAAGGGTTCTAGAACAATAACCAAAAGATAACTGACAATTAGAGTTTAAGAGCAATAGAAAGTACAGACCAAAAACCATCTAAGCAAGTCCTACTATACTCTTAACTCCCCCTATCTAAAAGCACATCATACTACTTAGCCACTTTCAACTTCATCCTCATCCTCCTCTCCTTCTTCTCATTGTGTACCTTCATCAGAGTTATGAGAGACAACATGAACCACATCCGCATAATCTCCCCCTGCTTGAGTGCACACTCATATAAAAACCAGAACCAGAAATAGAGAATGAAGGACAGAACCAAAGAACACTTACCTGTAAGACGTTGCAGAACAGTCTTGATGGTTGCCATGAGGAGTGCCAAATCAGCAGTGAGAGTTGCTGGACCAGCGGGGACAAACGGCCCTTTGATCTCAAAGGTAAAACGTTGTGGAGCTGCAGATGTCACATCAGTATCAAGTTCAGGGACAATGCGTTGAAACCGGAGCAGCTGATCAATCAGGTTTAGGAAGATCAATAGCCAGGTGGATGAAGGACTTGCGACTTGTTGAGAGCAATTCCAGACTTCATCATAGACCAACTTCCCAAAGTTTATTTCATGTTTCTTCACCACCATGTAGAGGAGAGTAGAGCGACCCGGTTTCAATGTATGAGAGTTGACAGTTGGCATCCAGTTCTGACAACAGATCTTCTAAAGTTGAGACATGGTATCTCCCATAAGGCGTTTGGTCAGATTGACCCAAGAAGTGACACGGCCTGAGGATAGGACAGCAGCTACATCATCCAGATCAGCAGCAATGTCCGTGACATGGACATTCACCGGGAAGATGGGGTTGGACAGTTGGAACATCTGATTGATGATGGTAGGAGAGAACTCATACATTGACCCACGAACAAACACCATGAGTTCTCCAGTCTCACGCACTTCAGCATCAGGAAGATTTGCGTAGAACACCAAGACAACCTGTTCAACAAAGGTATCAATCTCTGTAATAGTAGGAAGGAGACCAGCATCAGAGATGATTTTGTAAGCCGCCTGAGTAGACACACAATCCGGAGCAAGGAAACTCATCTCATTGAAGCGACGCTTGCAGATTCCCTGGTAGCGGTCACGAGCAGTTTCTGTGATAAACAGAGTATTAACAGAAGGAACAGAGGAAAACTTCAACTCCGGGTACTTCCGTTCACGGATAGCAATGAGTTTCCGGTTAGCCTGGTATCTTGCAAGGAAGGCCGGTGGAGGAATCTCAGCAACATCTTCATCATTTGCATCCCCAGTGATATCTTCGATATCATCAGATGTACGAGCAGCAGCAGCACGACGGGAAGGACGACGAGTGATTGGAGTAGGATGCTTCGATTTAGGTCGGGAAGATGAAGCAACACCACAGTGCTTCTTCTTCGGAGGCTGCACAAAATTCTTTGCCTTAACCTTTCTTGTTTTAGTAGCACCCGGTTCAGATTTTGGAACAAGAACCGGAATCGGAGAGGTTGGATTCGGAAGCGACGACGATGGAGCTGACACAGACGGAGCAGCAGTGGAAGTCGGAATAGCATCAGTTCTGTCAGCAGAGGTCGCAGAATCAGTAGCCATGTTGAATCAGAGAGGAAGAGGGCAGATTTTGCTTTGAGGTTGAGACAGAGAGTTTCAGATCTGCGAGAGGCTTTAGGGTTTTGAGTGAGAAGGAGCAACTGAACAGTCCAAGGGGAATAAGTAGAGAGAGAAGCGGCAAAGTTCCCTCCAATTACTGTAACATTGCAGATCTCGAGATGTCTGCACACTAAAACGCTCATTAAACGCAAATTGACTCTCACACGTTAACATAAAACGAGAAGGCCAACGCAGATAAATAGACCCAACCAGATAAAACCCAATAGACCCAATCCGATATTTTAAACCAGCCCACAACATTTCACAGACCAAATCAACATTCTTTTCAACCACAAGGCATTTCCGAAATTTAAACAACCATTTCACAGACAACCACATTCACACATGAACCAAGTTTCAACAGACAGAGACAAAATCCTTGTCCTCCTCAGATAATCTTAGTACATAAGAGATATATATCTATATATATAGATGACAATATATATATATATATATATATATATATATCTATCTGCATATACGTATTTTTTCTGAGTTGAATCAATGTTACAAAAGAACACAAAGGAAGTGAGAGCACACCTGGGGTTTGAGTCAGACCTACTGCAACAGATTCCCATATACAGAGGTGCACAGCTTCTGTACTTGTAGTTGTAAAAAGTATCAGCCTTCTTAGCCCACAGAGATGACCAACATACACCATGATCACTTCAGACTAGACTACACTCCTCATATCCTTCCAGATTTGATCATCATGGTGTGTGTGTGCTTCAACGGCGAGGGGATTGATGGATTTGTTGTAATGAAGAAAGAGCAATGAGGTACAGAAGTTTGATTGCATTGTACCTCTTGAAGATAAGAAAGAACATAAATCCCTTTCCTGCCCAACCTTTCATTTGGTTGCTTTTCCCCTTTTTTTTTTATTTGTTTTTCTCTTTTTGTTTTTTTTTTTTTTTTTTCTCTTTTTTTTTTTTCTTTTAACGGACTTGCAACACACACCCTTTTTGGACATCTTCGAGGAAGAGCATGAGAAGCAGCTGTTTTCCTGAAGCAACTTGCCAAGAAGGAGGTTTTCATAGTCTTTATTAAAAACAAAAAGCTGATGCAACTCTGTACAGAGGAACCTGTTGCACTAGCTTAAGACACAAAATGCATTAGTGTTCACACAGGCCAATGGATTTTTGCAGATTCATATAACTGTTTAAATCCAAAGGTTTAGTAAATATATCAACTAATTGCTTTTCAGAGGGGACATGAACTATATCAATAGTCTTGTTTTCAACAAGTTCACGAACGAAATGGTGTCTGATATCAATGTGTTTAGTGCGAGTGTGCTGAACAGGATTTTTTGAAATGTTTATAGCACTAGTGTTATCGCAATATACTAACATGGTAGAAGGAATGATACCGTAGTCACACAGCTTTTATTTCATCCAGAGCAGTTGAGTACAACAACTACCAAGAGCTACATACTCAGCTTAAGCAGTTGAGAGTGTGACAGAGCTTTGCTTCTTTGAATGCCAGGATATCATGTTGTTTCCAAGAAAGAAACAACCACCAGATGTGCTTCTACGATCATCCAGATTACCTGACCAATCAGCATCACAAAAACCTACCAGATTTTGATTAGTCTGTTTAGAGTAGAACAAACCTCTGTCAGTGGTACCTTTTACATACTTGATGATGCGTTTGACTGCATTCAGATGTGACAGACGCGGATTAGCTTGATATCTGGCACACATGCCAACACTGAGGCACAAGTCAGGTGTGCTGGCAGTAAGGTACATAAGACTTCCGATCATTGCTCTGTACAGCTTTTCATCCACACGCTGACCATATTCATCTTTAGACAACTTCACAGTGGTGCTCATGGGAGTTCTAGAGGTCTTACTTGTCTGCATTCCAAACCTCTGTACAATACTCTTAGCATAGGTACCTTGAGATATGTGAACCCCTTCTTCAGTCTGTTTGATTTGTAGCCCCAGAAAGTAGTTCATCTCTCCAACCATACTCATCTCAAATTCTTTGGTCATAGATTTGACAAACAAAGTAACCAAATATTCCTTAGTGCTTCCAAACACAATGTCATCAACATAGATTTGGACAATGAGTATGTCATCCTTTTCTTGATACACAAACAGGGTCTTGTCTACACTTCCTCCTTTGAAACCTTTTTTAACCAAGAACACTGAGAGTCGTTCATACCAAGCACGAGGAGCCTATTTCAGTCCGTAGAGAGCCTTTTTGAGTTTGTACACATGATCAGGAAAGTTTGGATCTTCAAATCCCTTTGGTTGAGCCACATAAACTTCTTCTTGGATTATACCATTCAGGAAGGCACTTTTAACATTCATTTGATGCAGTTTGTTGGGGTCGGATTTCATCCCTTAGCGCCGAGCCGGACTTTGGACGCCTCAGGGAACTTCTGAAGACACCTCGGGGAAGCATACCAACTATTTCATAGGAAGCGAGCCATTCACCTCGGTGCAAAGTGCCATTCACCTCGGTGCGGAGTGCCATTCACCTTGGGTTACTACACCGGTTGCCTCGAGGAACGCCCATAATCTGCTCGGGGTCCGTCGGCAAGCCTGTGAACCCGAGCCGGCTCCCTTCAAGTGCCCGAGCCGGTTCACTCAGGGAACCCGAGCCGGTTCACTCCGGGAATCCGAGCCGATTCATGCCACAACGCCCGAGCTGGCTCCTTCTATCGACCCGAGCTGATTTCCCTCGGAAGCTTGGGCCGTGCCTCTCCTATCCCCGAGCCGATTGCACAAGCCACCCGAAGGAAAGACTTAGTAAAATATTCGGCTTCAAAATATCATTTCCAAGCAAGGCATCATTTCCGTAAAAGAAGGATCATTTCCGATAAACTCGGAAATGATAAAGAAGAATCTCGAAGGATCAACTCAAATCAAGATAAATGGAAATCTTCCAAAAAACTCCGAAGAATAAGGAAAGTATCCTGATCCGCGATATTCTAAGCCGACTTCAAGATAAATGGAAATCTTCCGAGAATATCGCTGGAGAGGCGGCTTATCACCCCTATATAAAGAGACTCAAGGCTCTCGCTTTTGGACAAGCAAGATCGCTCTAGAATCTACACCATACAAAGCTCTTACAGCACAAACACCTTTTTCTTTTACGATCAAACTCTTGTACGATCAAATCTTCTCTTTTTCATCAATAAGATCAAGAACACCATCTTTGGTTACAATTGTTTTCTGTTGTTCTTTGAGAATTCCCGCATATCGTATCCCTAATTTAAAACCCTAGACAAATCTTGATTGTGTTAGTTTCGACTTCCACAGTTTGGCGCCGTCTGTGGGGATACTTTAGAATTCTCTTACCCTAAGAACGCAGAACTCAACCACCGAAAAAGACGATGAACGAGGACGGTCGTCAGATACCACCACCAGCCGGAGGAGGCAATCCTAACCCTCCGAACCATCAAGCCGATCCAGCAATCTCGGCGATCCTAGCCGAACTGAAGGATATGATGGTTAAATTCCAGAAGAAAGCTGACGATCAAGAGAAAGCTAACAAGACCTTGGCGCTGCAAATCGATGAAATCGCATCCCGTGGGCAACACAAAACCACGCGTTTCCAGACTCGACCGCCACGGGCCCGGAGGGACTTACCTGGCCTCAACCTGACGAGACTCACGTTCGCGACGCCGACAGATAACACCAGAGCTGCAACCCGAGCCGATCCCGCCAGACGCAAGGATCAGGACGATCCCACCGAGCCAGACGCAGTGGACCCGACAGACGAACCGGACGATCCACAAAACGAGCGTACCCGAGCTGGAGCTAACTCTGTCGAACGAACCGACCTCACTGATGACGAGGAAACTGAAGAAAACATAAGATGGGCCGAAGAATCCGAAAGAGAAGACGAGCTCAGCAAGATCCGAGCCTCCCTAGCCAAGGCGGAAGCTGATATGAAGCTCGTCAAAACCCAGATACATAGCGTCTCATCCTCCGCACCTAACATCGACAGAATTTTGGAAGAATCTCGGAATACGCCTTTCACCAAAAGAATTTCCGAAACGACGATGTCCAATCTGGGGAAGTTCAAAATCGACACCTACAACGGGACAACCGACCCAAAGTGTCATATTAAGTCGTTCGTGATATCTGTGGCCCGAGCCAGATTCAAGCCCGGACAGAAGGATGCCGGTCTATGCCTACTGTTCGTGGAACACCTCAAAGGACCCGCATTAGAATGGTTTTCAAGGTTGGAACAAAACTCGATTGACAGTTTCGACGAGCTGTCAACACTCTTCCTCAAGCAATACTCCGTGCTCATCGATCCCGGAACCTCCGACGCAGATCTATGGTCTCTGTCTCAACAGCCCACCGAGCCATTAAGAGATTTCCTCACGACCTTCAAATTAACGCTAGCCAAGGTTGAAGGAATCACGGACGTAGCCGCCCTTTCGGCCCTAAAGAAAGCTCTCTGGTACAAGTCCGAGTTCAGAAAAGAGCTGAACCTGTCTAAACCTACGACAATCCGCGACGCGCTACACCGAGCCTCAGACTTCGTCGCCCATGAAGAAGAGATGGCGCTGCTAGCAAAGAGGCACGAGCCGACGAAGCAAACGCCCCGAGCCGAGAAGACTCAAGCGACACCTCCGGTCCAGAAGAAAGCTCGCGAGAGCGGGACGTATACACATCATGAAGGGCGCAATTTCAAGGGAGCTCACAACTACCAGATTGACACTCCTCGTGGCCGAGGTCGCGGCAGAGGCCGAGGTCGTGGGCGAGGAAGAGAAACCTACACTTGGACAAGAGATCAGCCACCGAGCAACGATCAAGAATACTGCGAGCACCACAAAATCTTCGGCCACCATACCTCACGATGCCGGAGCCTCGGCGCTAAATTAGCAACGAAATTCTTAGCAGGAGAGCTCGGGACGAACGTCACGCTCAAGGACCTGGAGCCAGAGCCGGATCAGCCCGAGCCGGCCAACACCGCAGGGGACCCCGAGCCAAGGAACGCGAACGTCCCGAAAAGAACTCGGGAAAATCAAGACGAAGACCGAGATAATACACGGCAAAAAATCTTCACCATAATGGGTGGGTC